CCAACCATATTTTCCAATAAAAACGATACATGCTGACCAATTGAACTCATTAAAAGTGGATAAACTTCAATAAGCAAATATGAAAATACCTTAATTCCCTCAAATTGCTTTCGTTTACGCTCAATTTCAGCCTTTAAAACATCCATCTGTTTATTACTGAAAAAAAAGGAAAAAAAACGGGATGAAAGTAAAGTATCATAATCAGGTAACCATTAGAATATTAACCAAAGTATCAGAAAGTAAGCTGATTTCATTCGACAATTAAACAGTAACACTATATAACCCTTTACCACCATCCTGTGATCTGAATCCCGAGAACACCTAGAAATCTCGGGAATTCAATTACTACCACATAACAAGTAACCAGTCAAGTTAATGTAAAAATTTTCGCAACCCCAATGTGAACCTGCTAGAAAGTGCGCGAAATAATATATCGAGAAGGAAATGAGGGAATTCAATGATATATTGTATCGCAGTGGAAATTGTATTAGCGTCTGTCGTCTATCAAATATTCTTGCTCTCTTAATAATTTATCACTGGATTTTCCTAAAACAATGTTCTCTTTATCTTTTTTTTACTTCCTCATGCCATACTGTCTCTTTTATTTTTATTCCCTAACTGTCCGTTTAATTGAGCGAAACCGTTCCACTCTCCTTTTTTTTTGTCACATCGATAGTACTGGTGTGTTTCACTGTTACACGCTATTGCTCCGTGTTCTTCCCGTTCATTTACGTGTTTTACGTGTAGTTCCGTTGAACGTAACGTGATAATGTTTTATGGCGCTAGTATTTGTTGTAGAAACGATACATTAATGGAAAAGTAATAATGACATTCTATACATGACCAATTTAAACATACATTTAGTACCATCAACTTTACAATTTCCGCAAAAGTTTTTCTTTCATTCTTTAAATATAAGTAAAGTGGAGCTCTCATATAGATGGATGGATATCGAAATTTGGAAGTAAATGAGTGATCTCCTGAGAATCATCTAGAAGTAGTCAGTTGTACAGATTTCTAAGCGTCATCAATGAATTGAAAGATACGATTTCAAATATTATTTGGTTTAATGGTGAATGATGTTTGAAAGCTTATCTTTTATATCCGCTTTATCTTTTTTGAAGGTAATTGAAATCATCAGTTCTCATTTTTCGAATTTAAATGAAAAAGTACTCAGTTGATTTATACGATGTTTCACATAATATGCTTGTTAGTTCTTATTGGATGATTTATTGTTCCATTAAAAAAAATACAAACATTTTCAGTCGATGAGGTGGCGCTGGTACAGCATTACGGGTTTGCTACGACAACAACAACATTTACAAGTACAGTTAATCAACATGTAACATTAACCTTAATTGTGTGATACACCTTTTCTCGGCTTTTTTGTGCTTTTTTTTTCTTTACTCTGAAGCAGTTTGCTTAAGCTTTAGCTAACAGTGAAATATCGTTCGTACTTGCTGGATTTTCCCATGGCGTACGGTACTAAAGAGATGAGATGAATCATGGTTGATTTTTAGCATCAATTAAGAAGATGTTCAAATGATACCACGAGAGCAAACCTACATATTTGTTATCAAAATGGTTTACCAATGATCGAGATACCATTACCGTCGAGAAGAGAAATGTGTCAATTCACTCTGAAACCCATTAGCGATACTATAGCTCGCTTTTGCAAAAATATCGAATGCGAAGATAAAGGCATAGAAATCGTGTATATTTATTCAACAAGTAAGTTTGAATATTCTCAAGATCACAGCTTAAAGTTTAGGAATTTGCAACTTGTGATTCAATGTTTTGTTGGCTGCAATTTCGATTTTGAAATTTTACTTTGTTGTTTACGTCTACATTTATTCGGAATCTTAACGCCAGTTTCTCGACTGCTTCGTTTCTCCTTCCTTATTTGATCTTTTTTTTTATGTTTGCTTAAACTTCGAAAACTTTTAGGTGGTAATAGAATTGCCGGAAGTACTTCAGTACAGCATTTATTGTTGCGAGGCAATTTCAAACTACGCATCAATGATTTCATTTATACTGTTGAAGTACCGTCTTCAATAGATACCATTGCGGTGAGTCTATTTTGCTCTCCCTTGTAATTAGTACAAATATTCTCTGAATTGTTCCTTAGCGTATGGCATGTTTTGTATGGATATGCAGTGACTCATGTTGGTTAATTTTAGTGTCAAATATTTAGGGAAGAAAATCTACGTATTTGATGCCAAAACCATATGCCATTGTTTGAAATACCAATTACCATCGAGGAAACAAATCGTTCACTTCATCTAAAAACCTGTAATCAGTGTTGTTTGGCACCAAATACATAGATTTTTGAATACTTATAGAAGATTATACCAATTAATATTCGATAGAGAAATTTCAAACCTTGAATAATTTACATAGCATGCAATAACAGTGATAGAAACTGATAAAGCCATAGAATGCTATATAACGATGATAATAATTCATAACAGTGATAAGCTTGCAGGATATTAAGACGGATAGCGACGCAGTGCAGAAATTGGATGAATTGAGATCAACATTAGCGTCGTTATACGCCATCATGAATGTAGAAGAGTATAAAGCATTCCGGGAGCGAGTACTTATGGAAGAGTATGAAAATGTGAAGGCGGAACTTAAACCGCTAATTCAAGTTTGTTGGTTCTGGAATGTTTTCGAAGTTTTTATTCTCGTAACGCTAAATAGTCTTTCATGAGGCGTCGTTTTAATAACTTCATCAAATCACCCTTTCCACCGTGATGACGTATGTGTGTCATCGCCTATAACCTTAAAAACATTTGGCATATATCTGAATCGATTTCAAAAATAGTCTTTTTTGTTCAGACTGATCAGTTTCAGGCGAAATTTGAAATTGATGAATTCTGCAGAAAACGTGCGCAACGAATACTATGGTTAATATTGGCAGCAATGGGATTTCAAGCAGGATTTCTCGCTCGATTGACGTGGTGGGAATATAGCTGGGATATCATGGAACCTATTACATATTTTGCAACACACGCTACACTCATTGCATCATTCACATATTATTTATATACCAATCAGGTGCATTTGCTCATACTTTTTAAAGACTCATCAGCAATGTTGGCTACCTCTGAATAAAGAAATGATACAGTTTGAGAAATTAAACTTCATTCCACTGTCCTGTTCCTTGTGCTGTGGAACAGTGAAAAGCTTTTTTCTGTGGTAGTGGGTAAGTTCATATTCGGTCAAGCAATTCCAATGGCAGAAATAGAATATTGCTGCAGTCCATCATTTTTCAGTATTACGGTCATAATGATCATAAAAGAAGAGCGATGAGCTTGTACTTTTATAAAGAAGCGGCAAAAAGCAATTTTGACATATCTAGGTAAGTTCGCTGAGTCACTATAATTACATTGTAAAGTGTAGTTCATAAATTCTGAGTGAAATCAGTTCATCACAACTTACGTTGAATGTCATGCAGATATGTCTGTATTGTAGGTTTAACGAGCTACAGAATGTGGCAAGTTCTCTAAAGCATGACCTGAAAAGACTTCGAGATCCGCTGTATCAGCACTTGCCTGCTACAAGGTTGGCATCTTTGCTACGAGGAAGTAAGAAAGTACGACCCAGAAGCTTTGAAAAGAAACAAATTTGATCCTAAGTAAATTTTATTAAACCATTATATTACTTCTTGTATGTATGTCATTCTAAGATTGCCTACTGCAAATTAATGAGTACTTTCTAAAGGCAACTTTGAATTTTTTTTTGGGAATGTACCGTATTCATCTAGGAAACTGAAAGTTGAGAAAATTTGAAAATAAATTATAATCACAAGGTTTTGGCTATAATGTAAGATATAGTTTGACTATATTTTTGATAGTTCAATAAGCAAGTTTGTAAAAGATAAATAGTTTGTTGAATTTAGGTTCATCAAATTGAGGTTTGAGTAAAATGGAAGTTAAAAATGTTTTTGTTCACCAGTGATTAATTTTTGTGGCGTCCTTATGATACTAATATTACATTTATGATGCTTCATTTCCTTTATCATTTACGTCCTTTTTGCGGGTGAATTCATTAAAACAACTTGAATTTTTCCTTGATCTCCACTAAGGTTTTTTGAAAACTGTTGTAGCTCAGAGGTTCTATAACCTAATGGAGATTGATAATAGGAACTCAAGTTAAAGAAGTCAACCATATCATTGTATAAAACATTTTCGGATTTCCGAAACATTCCTTCATATACTGATTTAGTCATGTACATTAGACATACTCATGTCGATTTAATACATTAATTGTTGTATCGTGAAAAGATTCAATTGTTTTCATAAATTAACAATGACGAATGATTAATAAATTTCGGATTACATTTAATTATTAACGAATAAAACGGGTTTATTATTTTTTTGAATTTAACATGGGACTGAAAAATCTAAGAGAAGATGCTGTTTACCATTTATTCTCTTGAGAACTAGAATGTTAGCTGACAGAAGTATCAATGATCCGAAAATCTGTGTTGATTTCCGAACAACCGGACCACGAGATGGAATTGTCTCCGTTTGTTCATATCTCCTCAGTCATTTCAACTGTTTTTAATACTTGCATTATTCTATCTCTTACAAAATATCAGAATGATCGTAGTTACATCTGGAAATCCTATCAGATATGATAAATGTTAATTCAACTCATTATAAAGCAAGGATAAGAACTAATCTAATTATCAGATGCATATAAAGCAGGATTGGTAACATGGCATTCACTAGACATAAGGACTTTGTCGATGTACTTGCAGGAAATAGTGGAACACATTTTTTCCGGAAAAGTTTTGATTGGAAGGTCAAGTTCCCGCGAAAATATCGACCAATGAATTAAGATTAAAACTTACGCAAGATCTCATTGCAAGTTTGCAGTGACAGTTTCAGATAGTTCGAAGTAAGTGAGAATCATTACATATCAATGCATGTAATAAATAATTAAATGCAAAATAAATGAGATAGATTTATTTTTCCTGACAGAATGGAATTAACTATTTGAAAATTAATTAAAAAGCTGGGGTACTCTTATTACCTTAATTTTAACACTTTTTTTTGTTTGTACTTGAAATTACTATTAAAAATAGCAATGAAGTTGTCGAGTATTTCGATGTGATTATGTAAATTGTGAATTTCTATCATATGATTTATTTTCATTTAAACTTGCAACATTTGACCTTTTATAGCATTTGACCTTTGTCACGTTTTCGATTGAGTGAGAACCATTTTGAAGTAAATTTTAGAAGGGAATGTTACATGGAAAAAATGACTTGTAATCAGTAATTGAGACAGAATCAATCATTGTATAAAGGGGATTATTTTGTCGCTTTGATTCGACTCAACCATGAAGTACATTTTTTTTCTCCGTTAAAATGGATGATATTTTCGGAAGTCGGCTTTTTTCGAAATTTTTTGAAACTGTTGATCCGGCATTTTTCTCTCGAATCATGCCGACTGTTTCAGGATTACGTCTTAATTGACAACGATCACTATCGCTAAGCAAAGGAGGTGAATTGGTTTGATTGGCATTTTTGTGCTGAAAATTTTCTATCAGTAAAATATCAATGAAATATATTTCATACTGCATAAAGGAGGAAAATTCAATAATCTGTTTCCTGGATAGGTTGGAGAACGAAAATATCGAAAAAATCCATCCTAAATCAAAATAGTACATAATTAAACAGAGTTATACAACTCAATTTTATCATAATTCAATGATTTCTCAACTAACTTAGATATAGGCAATTGAGGAAGCTATTAAAGTCTACTGTTAATATTTGCATAGCAAAAAATTCAGGATTTGTTTCAGGAATTTGCAATTTAAAAATGATTAACAAACAAGAAAACCGCACTAGAACAGAGTAAAAGACTGATTACAGCTTACCAAATGTGGCAGTTTAGATGGATTAATTGCGGATGGTCGTTTCGATATCATTGATCGCTTTTCCATATAAAGCTGTTTGGCACTGATAACAGCATAATCAGATGAGCCACCACTGCTATGAGACAGTGGAGTATCATATTTGGGTAATTCATTTCCTGAAATAATTTCCAAATATTTAAAATGTGACACCTTAATAATAGCAAAAATTAAAAGAATAATAAAATTTAAAAACAGGCAGAGGATACTAATAATTTATCTTGTCCGATTTTTTTGTAAATTACAAACCACCGAATGAATCTAGTGATCCTTGATTGATAGTTCGCGGTTGTTCATTCAAATTCATTCGACGCTTCATAATAGGCGTTGAAGCTGGGCTACGAATCATATTATTTCGAACATCTTGCAATGATGAAACAATTGATCGTGTATGATTGTAATTTATTAGTGGATGCAAGCTGAAAGTGATTCTTTTCGTTTTTTGCTTTGAATTTCATAGAAGAAATGTTTTTTTTTCTTGTTTTCAGAAATTTTTTTTTCTTTATTTTTGCAATGAAATTATATAGTTCGTTTAATTATTGAATTTGAGTTGGCTTAATTCAATTTGAATTGATTTAATTTCATTATTCACTAGTTCGTTTAATTTCATTGTTATCGTTTCAATTGTTGAATTTGGAAGTTTAACCTATATTATGAAGTATTAATTACAATAAAACAAATAGCAATTTTTCAACTCCTTTAATTTCCAATTTGTAATAAAATCTCTTGTCGGAATTGCAAAAGAAAAAACGAAATTAAAAAAGAAATCTTTTTCTTTCTATGTATTTTCGAATATATTCGATGATAAAAGAAGAGAAAATGAAGATATGGAAATAACAAAAAAGGAAAGGAAAAAAAAGAAACTTACTTCAATAGAGGAGATGATTTTCCCACGCTGTTCTCAATTTTTTTTAACAATAGAATCACCAAAATATGGAATATTTCCAGCTGCTAACGTTCTACCTTCCGTTTCTACCAGACTTAAATTAGGTAATTTAATTTTGATTTTGTATTCAGTCTTGAAATTTGTCAAGAAAAAGAAGCTGGAAGTGTAGCTGGTACTCTCAATTATCAACACTTACCTAATTGGTCGTCCAGCTGGTTGGCTTTTGTAATTTCGTTGTGATATGTAAATTTTGTTGGTAGAATTTCTACGCTGTTGTTCTCGATGTCGTATTGGAGCACTTTTAATTTCTGATAATTTAATTAAGGCATAAATTTGGAAATTCTTATTTTCGATAAAATTTGATAATCATTTATCTAGCAGTTTTTGCTTAAGTTAATGATCGATATCAGTAATTCACCTTGTTGTGGTATAATAGTGGTATTTTGTAAATCATTTCTGATATGTGAGCCAAGATTTGAAATGCCAGCGCGTTCAAGACTGGCTTTATTTATTCCCGTAAATTCTGATATTCGTGATAAACCTTGAAAATATAATTCAAATCAATCAACAAAGAATGAAATAATGATAATTTGCAATGATAATAGTAGTAACTGTGAAATCTTTGCATTAAATTACGTTCTAAAATAGTTCCAAAACAAATAAACATCTAATTTTGCATGGAAATATAATTACCAGAATGACGGGGGAAAAAGAACTTACATCTAGCATAATCGAATAGTCGCAGAAATTCATTTTCAATACTTTGCTCATTTTTTTCAATTTCCGACTCCATAGCACAGGAATCGGAACGGCGGTGTTTCCGAATTCGTCCTCCATGTAATTTAAATGGTAACAAGAAATTCATCTGTGGGTTAATCTAGGAAAAAGAGGATTTAAATTAAACGGCTAACTTAATTATTACAAGTATCATAATTACTGTAGTACGGCACGTGCAACAAATGCTTCCGATGTGACGTTGAAATTTATGTTTGATGTTGAAATTAAATTAAATTGATGTACTATTTTTTGCAGCAAATCTTCGCCATGATATGATGCAGGTCGTGTTGATCGACGTTTTGTGGCTTCATAAAGTTGCAACTTCAATCGTTCAAGCTATAATTTACAGGTAGAAATTAATCAGCTTAAAAATCAACAATGATATTTCATTTCATTTTAAATCCAACTTTAAATGCTGTAGTACGGTTATGCGAATTTTATATTTATCATTCACTTTAAAACTTGAGTTATATCAACAAAATTTTTAATCAAACGTACCTGAGCATGAATTATAAGTAAGGATGATTGCGCATGCATTACTTCAAAATCTGATCGATTGGCGTAAATGTTCTTCTCGATATAAGAAGCACGAAGTTGGCCTAACTGAAGAAACAAAAAAAGAAGATAAAACAAGAGAAAAATTGGTTCAAACCAGTTTAACTTTAATAGTTTAAATAATTCAATGTTTATTTCAAACTAGGAATTTGTATAAATTTAATGACCATCAGAGATATTTATTGATAACACTTGATAGCATGGCTACAGTATTGCTCTCCTCTCCAGAAAGGAAGGAAAAATTCTTGCATACTGTTGTATTTCATTAAATTTGTGTTCAAATTTCAATAACAAATTTTTAATTAAAATTAATTGGTAAGTCAATAAACCTTTCGAACTATGCTAATAGTGAATGAGTACAAGGCATCATATGAAGGCATTATTTCCAGCAACTGACAGATACGTTGATCATGACTACCAATATCTGCAAATTATATATTTTTAAAAATGGATCAAAAATGAAAGACGATTGATCAAAATGATAGTTATCACTCACTCGATCCTTTATCTTGTAACATGGAAAAATTATCACGTTGCAATCTTTCGATATGTTCTAAACATGACTGATAAGCATTTTGCTCTCGAAAGGATTGATTGATAATCTGAAAATTTGACTAATTTCTAATCCATAAAATCATACAATAGCATAATATACAAATAACAAAAGTATAGATTGAAAATGCAACTGACCGCTTGACCATTCTTCATCATTTCTGCTTTCATAGCCTGTACTTTATCATCAAAATTTTTCAATTTCTCTTCTACATTATCAATTGCTGCAGTTGCTCTTGTGATCACTCGATCATTCATTGATAATTTTTCCAGTGCTTCATTAAGACGACATCGATTTCGCAATATTCCAATCTATATAAATAAGAAAAAAAGTGGATAATTTAAAAAACAGAATAAATAAATTATAATTTTGAAATTTCAAAATAATCATTACCTGCTTTTGAAGAGTGCTCATTTGTGTGCGTAATTTTGATTGCTCCATCGATTTTTCACGTAATTGTTCAATCAATCGATTATTTCTATTTCTGGTCATTACCAATTCATTTCGTATCGTTTCATTCTCGTCATGAATTGCTTGATTATCTACAAATATTCCGTTCTTTTCTTCTTGCATCAATTGATCAATTAATCAATTATTAAAGAGAATGTAGGAACGAGATATTTCAAAAGTCAAAATCAGTGATCTGAAAATGTTAAGGATAGTTTCCGCTTATGTCAGAGTGATTAGATAATCACTATTTTAAATTTTTGATGAACATAAATATTTAATTTTATTCATGCGGAAAATTTATCAAGAAATTTAAGAAATAGATTTTTTTTTAATACGCTCAAAATCACTAAATACATACCGGATATTCCGCGATTTGAAAAACGATTCCGTTGTGCGGTAGATCGGGAACCGTTAAAGCCAGGACAAAAGATACTTTTGGGAGTGCCACTAGATCGTTCATGATAATCATCATCACTTTCTTCACTAACTGTTGTTGAATTTTTATCATGGGAACACTTTTTATTTTCTTGTTCCTTCTAAATTGTATGTTTTGGAAATTTTCATTTTTTTTTTTTTGTTGCTTCAATATTTCTTGAAAAAAAAATATTTGAAGAGAATTTTCAAGACAAAAATCTCCAATAAAATAGTTTAATTTCTAATAAAATATGGAAATAAAATTATTGAAGAAATTAAAATTACATGTTGACGTTGAATATGATATTGTTTAGGAGCTTGAAGTAACGATTGTTTATTACCATTCGATTCATCAAATGCGCTCTTGTTAGCAGTTGTTAAGCTATTCTTACTTGCCGTCGAAGAAAGACTCCATTTATCTTAATAAACTTTACATATTTGAAACGTTTCAAAGAACAAAAAAGAATAAAATGAGAACATCGTTGGCTTTCAGATGAAAACGTACGATAAGTTAGGATGATCACGCCTGTTTCATCTTTTCATTAAGATTATCGCAAATGTCCGGATAATTACCACTTCGTGTATTATTCTCACTGGAATGAACCGAACTGCTTTCACTAATTTTACGTTTTCGTTTCTTTAGTATCACTTTACAGGTTATTGTTTCCTTCTTCGATTCAATCGATTTTTCTTTCTTCTTTTTTAAGCCAATTATTTCGAAGAAACCTGATCGACTTGTTGCTAAAAATTTGATAATAATAAAATATCAGCTCTTTTTTTTCCCCAATGATAAGCTAAAAGTTAAAAGATAAGGACCGAAAAACAGAAACAAAAAAAGACAATGATATCATTGTACCTACACAATGGACAATGTCAAAGGCTAACCATACCTTCATGATAACCCCAATGGAGCTTACAAAATCCCTCCCTAATCCTTATATACATATATTGGAAAATCCAAAAGGGTTCAGTTTTTACAATCGAGCAGACGATACATCCTCATCGCTTATCCTCCGCGACTAACCCACAACCAACGATATCTTCGCATATTCGTCACCACTGGACAACAAACTACGATATTCTTTCTATTCGCTAAATACATTTCCCGTAACCTATTCCCAACTCAGCGACCTATCAACTAACCGACAGTCAAATTATTGTCCAAGGCAACGACAAGGAGTTTGTTAGTTGATCATATTACTTGCTTTTTGTATAACTCATTTATCCTTGCATACCAATTCATCGTGTTATATACATTCATATTTTATACCCTTTTTCTTGTTGTTAACTAATAATATTGTGTAAGAACAATATTACATCCCGAATAAATCTATATCGCTGAGAAACGAGTTCAAAGTTTAACTTTCCCAACAGTTTTCTTTTCCTCTATTCCAATTTTCATGGTTTTAAATTTGCCATTCATAAATGCAACTTAGTCTCAAGTATCCCTCAACAGTTCGACGATAAAATAGTGGTATAAGATTTGAAATGAAACTTTAATAATTTCAAATTTAGAAATTCGTACTCATATTTTCGGAATGATCACGAGATGATGCTGATGATGGGCTTGTTCGTTCCGACACTGATGACACTTTAGAACGACTCATGATAGCACGACTTCCACGTACCTCATTATTTCCGTTTCCATAATTTGGTAATGCAACCTAAATATCGAAAACTTTAAAAAAATTACGAAAAATACCAAAAATTACTACTTATTCTTCTGAGTAACTTTTCCTGTCCTAATTTCTGTCTTTTTCAGAATTTGCAAAAATTTTGAGCTGTAAAGCCAATTTATATATAACAGTTTTGGCAAGTTTGAGAAAATTCCGAAATAAACCAATTAAATCCCGGGAGCAAAATAACGCAATGCTTTTCCTATCAATAACTTATCACCCTGTAACTTTTTATTACCAATTAAAGCATGGAGCTAACTTCTGTAAAAATGGAATGTTCTACATCGGAATCAGACATTTCTGGCAAAACTATTGGTGGTGCAGGTATTTGACGTGTTGGTGTCAAAGTTGTACGAAGTGGATCCGATACATCCGATGATATATCTGTTGAATAAGAACTTGTTGTTAAGCTTTCCTAGAACAAAAAGTCCGATTAATTTCTAAGCGAATCAGAAATTATACAAATACGAGTCACTCTTGATTTGGAACAACCCAACCATCTGTATTAATTTTAAATTAATTACATCGAATCTTTTATAGTTTCAAAAAAAAAGCGACAAAGAAAAGTAAATAAATATTAATTAACAACGAAAATTTATTTAATAATGTAGAAAAATGAAATTTCGTCGGAATTTTAAACCAAAATAATTTAACAGTGAGCTATACAAATGCTTCAATTTGTTTTAAAGTCAAAAATCATCGAAAAAAAAATTTTCCGAATTGATTTTAGCAAATAGATACAATCTGAAAAATGGATGGAGGATGGATAGGAAAGATGGAAATCTTCGTTGGTTGTAATTTCTATTCTGTTTCGAAAGACTTCATCCTGTTTTCAGTTGTACTGTAATCAATCAAAAACGATTTTCGAACTTAATTACCGGAAGATTTTAGTTATTTCTTTGCTACTATGATTAAACTTTTCTTGTGATAATTGTTAAATATTTAATCATCAAATTTATCCAATTAAAGATTTTTTCGCTATAATTTCATTTTGAAACAAGGAAAAAAAAACGACAAAGAGTAAACGAAACCAAAGAGCAATAATTAAATTTAATTTAAAATTCAATAAATTCATAAATTTAACACTTTCAAATAATACAAACATGAATGAGATAATCAAATGTATTAAGCAATGAATATAAAAAATTATGTAAATTATTTTCGGATTAAAAGATAAAATTACAATTAATAACTTGCTTTATGTGGTGGTGTGGATAAACGTTCACGTGCGCCATTTCGTATTTCACATTGATGAAAAGCTCGTCGACCCATAATTTTTGGGATAATATTACTTCGACCTTCCAAAATAGCACTAACACGATGGACAACACTACGTTTTGGCTCAACTGCTACATTAAGTTGATAACGTAATGCTTTATTCTCTCGACGAAGTTTGCTAATTTCACCAACCAAACTACACAATGCTCCTTGAACATTCAAAAATTGTTTGTAATAAAAGAAAAAGAAAAAAGGAAGAAGAAAGGAAAGAAAACAAAAATGAAAAATTCTTTGAACATAAATGAATTATGATCATATCATCAATTATTGTTAGCTTGCTGAAAATTCAAAGTTAACATTTTAATAGCTTAATGATTATACCACTATATCTGAAATGTTCAAGCATATATTTTGTTAATTTGATAACTGTAAATTGATAAAAATTTTAATTTAACCAATTTTTTTAAAGGTAAAATTTTTTTGCAAAAAAAAAAATTTCCATCACTTTTATTTTGGACAATAACTCGATGAAATTAAGGGGAAAAAAAAGTGGCGGAAGATGAAAGATTGAAAATGATGGACAGATGGAAAAAAAACAGGGAAACGAAATTTTAAATTACCGCAATCGTAATTTGTTTTGTGGGATAAAATAATTTTAGTAAAATTTTATTTAATCGAAAAAAGATTAAATAGTAAAAATTTTACAGCATTACTAATGATTAAACGCATTCCCATCATTTTTTCACTTTCTATTTTAAAACTGTTTAAATGTTGCATCGTTAATTAATTACATTTAATTATTAAGCGAACAAAAGACATTTTAGCATCAAACATAAAAATAATTTCATTAATAAAAAAATTAAATTTGAATTTTGTCAATGCTATTTCATTCATCCAATTACAACGATATCTTTAAACAATTATCATTGCTTTTTGAATTGAATACTTTTCTTTTTGTTTTGTTTTTCCTCGACAAATCTTTTGATAACTAATTTAATATTAACTTCCTTTTTTATTTCATTTTATAAAAAACAAAAATTTCGATTTTATCAATATTACTTATTAATACTTTTGAATTTCGTTGCAATCCAAACTGAATAATAAACGAGAATTTTTATTTACTAATAAGGAGAATTTCAAGATTTCGCCATTTTCAGCCCCATAAACTTTTTATTAATTCCAAGAGTAAATGAATCATTTTACGTCTCTTTTATTTGCTTTCTTTCCATTCCTTTTTTTCGTTTTTGTTTTGTTTTTTTCTTAAATTTTTAACCAATAATTTTTTCATTTTAAAGGATAAAAATGTTCATGCTTGCAGTAAAAATTCCACATATTTTTATAATTTTTGATATAATACTCGCAAATTTTTCAATACTTTTCAGAAATTATATAAAATAGTGGTTTGAAAATCTATCAAAAACAAAATTTATATTGATATTATGTTAAAATTTTGTTAATTATTTAATTAGGAATTGGAAAAAAAAATTTTCAGCATCATAATTTGATTGTAAATTTTCCTATGTATTTGTTAACCTACTATATAATTATAAATTCTCTCCCCTATATATTCATTAATTTTACAGCTATAAAAAAAAAAAAAAAGATTTATATCAAATTGAAATTCTTATTTGCTTTCTCATTTATAGATTTATTTCGTTAATTTATTCATTTATAGATTTATTTTTTTTATGCACTTTTTCATTTCAGTTTATTTAAGCGAAAAAAAAAATTAATAACCAATTTAAAGTAGTATATTTATGAATGTAAAGAAAAAAAATTAAGTAAACGTACCAAGTACTGGAACATCCTCACATACTGAAGTTCTCTCGGGGATTTGTCCTTGTATCCCTTCCAATTCTCGTAAAAATTCTTCCTCTTCACATTCATATCTGTAATTATGCATTCCATTACAATTAATTTAATTTAATCTTTCTTCTGTAAAATGATGAAATGAGAGCAAAGGAGAGAGTAAAAGGTGAAATTATTGAGGTTACTTAATCCCTTTAATCTTTTTAATTGGCTCCATTTTAATTCAATCTTTGACCCGTTCAATACTTAAAATTCATGGTATCCATTCTTCACCACATGAATGCTTTTCACATTTTTTAATCGTATTTTCAAAAGTAAAAACATTTTTTTTTTAAATTTTAGTCTTTAATGTATTCACTATTTATATCATTTGAACATAATTCGTAAATTAATTTTTTTTCCTTCTAATGATGTTGTTAAATTGAATTAAATTTGAATTCCCAAACGTGGAACAATTTACTAATCATTAATTGCTTCGCTTTTCAAAACAATCAATTATAGGTCATTTTTTGTTAGCATTTTTTGTTAGAAGAAATGATATTTAGTTCAAATGATTTTCCTGGAATAATTAAAATTATCATTTTATGAGAGATAGTGAACATAGAAATGAGGGGAGAAATAAATGAAAAGACAGCAAAAGAAAAAAAATGAGAGGAAAACGAAGATTGAAAATAAAATAAGAAATTAGACAAGTTAAACTATGATCTTGAATATTTATCATAAAAATTTTCAATTTAAGAATTGATGTCCTCCTTACTAATCCTTTTTCCCTAAACATTATCATTAATATTATTATGGTTGTTATCAAGTTTAATTTGACATCTTTGATTAGGATATACTCATCCAAATTTAATTTTTCTGACAATTACAACAATAACAACAACAACAACAACAACAATCAACGCTTACTTATCAATTATAAATTTAGAAAATGTTAAAATTGATCAATTTTATGAAATATAAGAAAAAAGAAAGAGGAAAAAGAAGAACCTTTTTAATACTATTTATTACTAATTAATAACATAGAATTACTTGCTAAGTGATTATTTCATGTTAAACTTATTAAAAAGTTTATTTATTTATTTATTTTCCAATTACATTTCTAAAATGGAAGTACATTTTGTTTAAATTGTTTTAGAGCTAAATGCTGGGGCATGTTGCGATTTTTTGCAACTTTTTATACCAAACTTGGAGACTTGTTAAAACAAAAAGTGAAAAATAAATGGATGAAAAATAAATTTATATTTATGACAGTTACAAATTGGTAAATTCTTTTCACAAAAAAAAAAAATTTTTTTTAAAGCAAAGTAGTTTGTCTTTAAAAAATAATTTTAATTTTACTATTATTCCAATTCATAATTTGGAATAATTTTAATTTTAATCACTGTTTTTTTGTTCATACAATTACTCTTATACTTAATAAAATTTCATTATTCTTATATTTGATAAAATTTAAAAAATTCCAAATAATTTAAATTATAAAATTTAAGATACAAAAGAAAATTGAAAAAAAACCTGGTGATAATATTTCGTATCACATCATCAGTTGGATTATCATCCATTCTTCATATTCATTTAATTTGATCGTAGAAATCAGTCACGTTTGTGTTGCCGATCTCGAAATTAGTGATAAACAAAATAGTTAACAGTTGGATGGGAATAGTCTGATTAAAATTTCCACATAGCTTCCTTCCGCCCATTTGTCGTTCCTTCTTCCCTTCCTTCCTTCTTTCCTTCTTTCCTTCCTTTACAACCATTATCCTAAACAATGGGAACTTTTGAATGGAATAGCTGTAAGTTTTAACCTTCATTGATATGCTTTATTTTAACGATGTCTGTTGAAATTGAAAACGACCTGTAATGAAATGGCTTGCAATTTGATCCTTCATCACTGTTCGTCTTCCACTTCATTTATTCATATTCATTCATCCACTCTTTCAATTTCTTCCTCTACCACTATCCTTCATTTCTTCCTTTTCTTAACTCATTCTCTTCTATCCTTTCATCCTTTCTTCATCATTCATTTAATCCGAATAATCTCCGCAATTAACAATGCATTTATAATAACATAGCATATTGCAAGAATGAAAAATTTCTTTCGAAATAATTCCTTGAAAATGAAATTATTATTAATTAGCATCATCAAATGATTAAAAACAAGAAGAGACGACGAAAAACTGTTTGAAACATTAATTTAGAAAAAAAAAAGGAAAATGAAATAACTGATAAATAACTTGCAAAAGCTATTGATTATAATAGAAAGAATTAAGTTATCAAGTTAAGTTAAATCTTAAACAAAAGCTTACTGTATTCATGATTTTTTAAAATAATATATTATAAATTGAATTTTTATATATAAACATGATAGCATCATTTTATTTAAATTTTCATCTAACATTTAAAATGTAAACCTCTTTTTTCCCCCCATTAATTTAATTATAAAATAATTGCAAAAATTTTCAAAAATTTATTTGAAATATTTGATGGTACAATAATTTTTAATTAAATTTGCAATTTACAATATTTTTTATACTTTTATACTTTTTTCCTTTTCCTTTTTTTTCTTTTTTTCTTTTTATAATCCAAAATATTGACATTTTTGACAGAATTTTTTCTTTTCCTTTTTTTGACACCTACTTCAATTGTCACTTATAATCTATTCCTGAGGATAAAAACCTTAGTTTATTAAATATTCACTTTATAATTTTGTTCACATCTCACAAAGGGTCATCCAAACGTTCAATCGAAGGAAATTTAGTTTTCATTTTTTCTTCTCTCGCCTCACTTCATCTATTTAAAAAGTTTATCAAGCAAGCATTACATTAATTGAAGTTTAAAATATTTGATAGTGTCTATGTAATATTTAATTTTCCTCTTGGAATTGTTTTATTTATCGATGCGTTATTGTTCATTTAATTAAAAATTTTAATAAATTACTAAGTGGAGTTTTTTTTTT